AGGGCGAAACCGGTCGTGGGCCGCCGAAGAGTTTTCAGCAATTTTGTGAGTTGTTTTCCTCATGAAAATATACAGCGATATCTCGAATATCGTGCCAAATGAATCATGAGGCGGCCTGTGTGCAGCACATTCAGTTGTAGATTTGCAAATGAGTGTATATCTCAGAAACAGTCCAATTCGGGTTCGAGTAGAGCTATTGGGTTGATGGAAACTCAGGGACTTCGCCTACCTGTTGGGCTCCAATGAGGGCGAAACGGGTCGTGGGCTGCCGAAGAGTTTTCAAAAACCTTGTGAGTAGCTTACCTTGGGGAACTATTCGATATTTTGAATATTCCACCAGATGTAAAGTGAGGCGGCTTCTATGCAGCACATTCAGTTGAAATATACCATAAACGAGGGATTCAGCCGGTTGAAACCAAACCGGTGTGCAAACGAATGCATTTCAAAACGAACAGGACTTGTGCGGGCTGATAGTTTTTTTCAGTTTTGCTGAACAATGCAACCTTTTCAGGGACCACTGACCACAGTTGCCGATACCACGCAATTGAATCAATCCAGGAATCACAAATTCGATAACCAATCCCATAGAGTTGGATCCGATGACGTAGGTTGGAACGATCAAAGTACACAATTTTATGTTGCAAGTTTTTCCATTGCTATCTCAACAACGAGATTAATAAGACTTACACCATGTTGCGATTTTTTCGTTGTTCACACACATGATTTAAGCAAACACAGGTTTGTTGGTCTTACTTAATTATATGAATTTGACAAGAACTGCGCAAAGTAACCAGCTTTGAAAGTCACCATGTGAATATGGTGAAAATAAACATAGACAAGGTCACTGGCGCATCATTTTTTTCGAGACGGGCTCAAAGTCCATTGCTCTTGGTGACTCGTGCGGATAGCCACGCCGTTTGTACAGTGTTTTACAGCCGCGGATGAACTTGTTGTTCCTCAGTCTTTACGACATTCGTTTGAGTAGGCGTCCTGAAAAGCAACAAGTATCATGGTTACCTTAACCAATTAGTGTGTCATTCGACAGCATCAACTTCTAAAAGAAACTCACTTGTTTTTCGAGAAATACACTCGTTTTGCAAATCAATGTGGTTTTCACGAGAGAAAAAGCAACATCATGGTTACCTTAACCAATTAGTGTGTCATTCGACAGCATCAACTTCTAAAAGAAACTCACTTGTTTTTCGAGAAATACATACATTTTGCAAATCAATGT